CTACTACTGCTGCTGCTGATTATGAATCTGCTGCTGCTACCGCCGCTGCTGCTGATGATTTTGACTTGATTGTCGTGATTGGACACTGTAGATAGTAAGGTAGAAAGATTATGATATTATGGCATTATAAAGGAGAAGGACGATGCTTGGCTATAACGATCAGTATCATCATCATAATTATAACAAAAATAACATTATTAACAACAATAATAGCAACAACAATAATAAAAATAATAGTAATAATATCAATAATAATAAAAGTGTGACAGTGACTATGATAAGGGAAATAATATAATGGATGCCTGGGTTTGACGAAATCTCAGACGACGATGATGATTAGCCATACTATGATGATGATGATAATGATGATGATTATCACATCGATGAAGCTAAAGCTGATGATGACAATGATGATACCTTGAATTGTATTTAAGATTGCTGCAACAACGAGGATGATGATGATGATGACGACGATGACGACGACGATGATGATGATGATGTGGTAATGATGATGATGATGTTGTTTATGTGGTACACAACAATAAAAAATAAAGCATGGCAATGTAATAAAACTTTTATTAACCATAAAAGTTACATAAACACACGGAATATTTTTATCCCTATCCAACACTCTCTCTCTTTTTTTGCACGTTCTCTCTTCTCATTTCATTTTACTTCTCTCTCTCTCTCTTTCTCTTTCTCGCTTTCTTCATTCTTTACTCTCTATTCTCTTTATTTCTCTCTTTTTTTCTTTTCAACTTTGTAATTTTTTCTTAATTTTTAGTTTTTTTTTTCACTCTCCCTCTCTCACTCTTCCTTTTTTAATATATATATATATATATATATATATATATATATATTATTGTTGTCACATTCTCTCTCTTTTTCTTTCTCTTTCCTGTATCTTCTCTCTTTTTTATGCCTTGTTTTCTTTCCCTTTTTCCCTTTTACATTCATTCCTTCTTTCAAATTTGGAACAAACCGGTTTTATATTTTTTTTAAATTTAAAGAAGAATTAACTTTCTTCTTTGTTTCAACGATCCATAAACAAACAATTAAATAGACGTCTGTGTGTGTGTATGTGCGTGTGTGCAGAGGCGTCATTTGGGGGGAGGCAGGGGGGACAATTGTCCCCCCCAAGAAAAATTATAAAATATTAAAATTATAAATTATAAAAGTGTTAATTTTAAATTCTTTGTAAAAAGAATATAATAGGATATATAATTTAGTAATTTTAAAACTTTAAAAATTTAGAAATTTTAT